ATGGGCGGCAAGCCACTCCCACAAAGGAGGCCACACCCACAGAGTGGGTTCGAACAATTTTTGAAACCCACCACTGTTATCCAGGCTGTCAATGTGCACTGGCTGAGGATATTTTGGGGGCATTCTCAGGGTCAAAAGATTCGTAACTCCCTAGATTAGGATTACAAAGGCAAGGGATTAGCTCATCCAAAAGTAGACTGGAATCTGGGTTTTTAGATTAAAGGCTCTGTTGGGATGTCAGTTTGGATGTAGAGATTCCATTAGTCAAAGCCAATCATCCCTACATCTATACTCTGTTACCACTGCCAAAAACTATTGGTTATGTCTAGTTTAATAATAAGAAGGAATAGGGATGACATGATAGCAGTCTCCCAAAATCTAAGGGGCTGCCACAAAGAAGAAGGGGATCTACCTGTTCTCCAAAGCATGTGAAGCAATGGATGGAAACTAATCAAGGAGAGAACCAACCTGGAACTAAGGAGAACTTTCCTTACAGTAAGAACAATTAATCACTTGTTCTCTGGATTTGCCTCCAGAACTTGTGGCTGCTGGAAGTTTTAAAGAAGAGATTGGACAAGCTCTTCTTTAAGAGCTTGCCCAATTGAAATGGTGTAGGGTCTCCTGCTTGAGCAGGGGATTGGACTAGAAGACATCCAATGTCCCTTCCAACTCTGTTATTCTGGTATTCTCTCTTGGGATGCTTGAGATGCACCCAGGGGTGAAATCAACTTACCTTCGCTACCGGTTCGCAAATGTTAGGGTGCGCTCACTCTGCTCGCACACGCCACCTCCATGCATGCATAGGATTTTCTGCCCATGCGCAGAATGTCAAAAACAGGACTTGATGATGTCCGAATGGGTGGGTTGAGCCTCCTGCTGCCGTCACTACAAGTTCTCCCGAACCAGATAAAACTGGCTGAATTGCACCACTGGATGAACCCATCTTTGCCAATTTTCTTTTGTGGATTCTATTTTATGAACCTCAATGGTTGGAGTGCAGTACTGCAGACTACTTCAGCTGACTGCAGTTCTGCAGTTCGGCTGTTCAAATCTCACCGGCTCAAGGTTGACTCAGCCTTCCATCCTTCCGAGGTGGGTAAAATGAGGACCCGGA